TTTGTCTCCGTCAATAAAGGCAGATTATCAAAAAGTATTAGACACATATTATTTCTTCATTCACACAATGAGAATATTACAGAGATGTATTGATTTGCAATGTCGCATTCTTAGTATAATTTTTACTTAGAAGTAAAGTCACGAGCCTCCCAAATTTTACTGTGCTTTATCTTTGGCATTCTTTGGTTCATTGTCAAAAGAAAAAAAAAATGTGTTCATTTTTTTTGAAATAAAACTGATGGACGAAATAGAATTTCATTTACTTGACCCCGTTATCGTCCCTAAATTGGAGGCGATGGGCTGATAATCTAATAAAAAAAAATAGGCATCCAAGCACTTCATTATTAGCAAATTAATATCCCCCACTGTTAGGTATAGACCGCGCAATCCGCCATACCGAAGTTATTACAATATGTGAGTTGAGTTCAATAGCAAAAACATCATATACAGCAAAAAAACGACGGGTTGCACTCCGATAGTGCCGGCAAAAGTGAAAACTTGAATATTAATGTTGTGCATTTTTGATATTTTGGAACGGTTAGGGAATAATTTTTCACGAATTATTAGTATAAAAGAACTATCATGTATGTGGTAGAATACAATATTTATTTATTGCGCTATCGTACATAAACATGACAATTTATACTACATTAAAAAAGTTATCTCTCAGAAAAATCGCAATAAAGCTGCCACGTGGACGTCCTAGATAGAGACTTATTATTATAATACGGTAAAATAAAATATTACTATGTTTCGTGCAATATATTGAAAGTCAACAACCTTTCAAATTTTATTGTGTGTCATGATGCGATCAGCCCACGTGTTGAACCTGACACGAGTCTAACATTTTTTACTCATACAAAAAAAAGTGTACAACGCCGCTAAAGAAGTTTTCACTTCAAAAACTTGACAGCTCTAGCCATCTTACCTTGCTAGTTTGATCCAATTCCCTCAACCGTAAAGCACTAAGAACATCTTACTCACCGACAGAAACAAAACACTATCCAATTGGAGCGAGAAATCCTAGCTCTCATAATCGTGCTAATGACAAAACACATAAAATCTTCACATTTCAAAGCAATAAAAAATAGCTTACACACAAATCATGCCACATAACATTAGACATAATAACCCTTTTGACAGTCAACACGCTAATTATTACAAATACACATCCTCTTTGGTCAAAATAGCCCGAACTATTCGAGCATAAAATTGTCAACCGCGATAAACGGTTGAGTTACTAGTTTATAGTTTTTAAAATGTGTTCAGACGGTAGGGACAAGTAGGGGTTAAAATTAGACTCCTGAACCAGTTTAAGATGAGCTGAATGTCTCGACTTTTACAACTGAAAGAAAGGCCTCATTAAACCCACCGCTCAAAATACACTGAACTGGAGAGCAAACAAAAATCACTGTATAGAGAGATCATCTTAAGGTAGATGACCAATTTAAGAATGGTCTACCTTTTGGAATCGAATGTTCGAAAATAGAGGCCAAGGAGAAAAACTTGCACGTTAAATTAGTTTCTGAGAAAACGTTCAGTTTCAGCTCATTAGCGACTTTCAAATGATTGATGATCATGAACAGCAGTTTAAGATTATTTGTCTGTCTACGAACTACAGGGAAACTTAACACTTCGGTACTATAAATAATTACCTATGTTTATGTTGTGTTCAAAAACTAAGTAACTTTTTTACCATGCAGCTTCTTCGGGTTAGCGTTGTCTTTTAACAGTGATTCATTTTTGAGCAAAATATAATTTAGTTTAATTTGTCAGTAACTTGATTTACGATCTTAAAGTGGTTTAATTAGACAAATGACTTACATCCGTAATGTTAGCTTTGCAAAATATCGACCGAGGAACCAATAACCCTGATATTACAGTTTTTAGTAGTTCGGTTACCGTACGGTTAACCCAGTAAGGTTAGGGTTCCATTTCTTGAGATTTTTATATGTATACTTTAGACTTTATAAACTTAATACATAAAAAGAGTAAATCATTATTATTATTATTATCTGAAAAAACAGTAACGATGCTTATTATATACAGTAATTTGCATCTGTAACGATTAACTTTTTATTGTAACACGAAGATTATAAATAGCTAATGACGCTTAGAGATCGTGATGAAACATAAAATGTTCAGACGCAAAGATATCTTAATAAGAGCCTAATATCCAAATCTAAGTGTATTTTCCTAGTAACGATTTCAATCCCCGTACAATTTAATTTTACGCGAGGTTAGAAAAGAAAACAATAAAAACCGAATCATTACGAAATATTATCATATAAATTGAAAAGGACCCGAGAACAGAGTTACAATGGAGTCGGAGTCAAAATTATCGATAGAGAAATGCTGAAGAATATAACGAAAAAGATTTCTTGTTTAATCTTCACGAAAACCATTAGGTTTGCGTGCACACCTGGTACTGCAACATAGCAACAATAGCAAGTTCAGTAATATTCGACAATGTTTCCGACACAATACAAAGTAGCCTGATGGTGATTGCAGGGACATAAAATCAAAACCAATCACGAGATTGGTAGGTACAGTGTTTAGTCTGCATGAATAATGCAATCTAATAAGTATTTCATTAATTCAAAAATGGTGTTAGTTACCTTAAGTTTATAAAACAGAAGGAAAATGAGGAACGCGTTATTAAGTCTTCATACAGTAAATGGAGAGAATTAGTTGGAAAAATGTTGAGTTGATTGTTTGTTTGTTTGTGTTGTATAGGCTCCGAAACTACTGAACCGATTTGAAAAATTCTTTCACATTTTGAATCCTGCATTATCCCTGATGGAAATAGTCCATAGAATATAATTTTTATTATTTTAAAGCATGTAACTGCTTGATGTTTAAATCTAAAGAAAATATAACTAGAAAAAATTCCACGCGGACCAAGCAGCAGGCGGGACTCGAACCCGCACCCTTCGCAATCCGGGCGAATGCATTGACCAATTTTTTCTAGTTATATTTTCTTTAAATTTAAACATCAAGCAGTTACATGCTTTAAAATAATAAAAATTATAACTATAATTGCTATTTCTTCTTTCAAATGTTTAATACTTGTAAAAGTATTCATTTGACATTGTGGGTTACCTATAATGCGAAGAAATGGTGCTGCCTTGCAGCTTAAGAATGGCTAGAAGAATTTCGACGCGGTCCGTGAGGGTCGCGGTAGCATAATTGGTCAGTGCATTCGCCCGGATTGCGAAGGGTGCGGGTTCGAGTCCCGCCTGCTGCTTGGTCCGCGTGGAATTTTTTCTAGTTATATTTTCTTTAGTCCATAGAATATTTTCAAAAAGTTATGGTTCCGTATGAAAAATTTGATAATGTAACCCAGGCCAGGGTGTAAAAATAACCTTATATCGCTTACGTGGCGGTAGTCATTGACAATAAGGCAAAGCGATACAGTACTAAATTTTTATAGAGGGCATAAATATCCACAAAAAAGTCCGCAATATTATAATATTTCTAACTATTACAGTTATGTAACATCTACAGGTCCTCTGCGGTTACACCCATAATAATTTGAGGAAAAGGGTTATAGTGAGTAAAATTTAAAAGATGGACATATGCTGTCGCAGACTTTTTTATAGAACTATTAAAGGGGAACAATTCCATCATTCATGATTTTTGTGTAACTTTAAACATTTACACAGCGCACGCAACGAAATTCCCAAATGGAATAGTTTTATCCGTTTTTGCAACATTTTACAACGATACTCAGGTTCCTACTGGTCGCAGCATAATATTATATAGCTTAAAACTTTTCTCAATAAATGCACTATCTAACACAAAAATATGTTTTCAAATCAAACCATTAGTTCCTGATATTTGCGCGTTCAACCAAAAAAGTCGTGCATTCAGTACAACGAACGGTCCATAACTACGCAACAAAATTTTGACTATTAGTTAAAACTATAGCCTACACTACAGCTCTATACGAAGCGAAAGCGAGAGTATTGTTTTTTTTAAAATTTGCATGTGACCCAGGAATTAATTGTATAACTTCATTTTCTTTCATAGTCCCTTTAATTTAATTGTCTGGAAAAATATTAATTAGGTCACATTTATACTTTTCTCAAGTTTTGAAACAGTTAAAGTTATCAACGTATCATTAATACACGTGATTTTTCAGATACTCTACAGTTCCTGAAACATTTTTTCACTTACGCAACGCTGCAAGAAACAACCTCTTATCTCCTTTGAAGCTACTCCACGCACGTCGCTACTCCACCCTAGCTTCTCAACCACACATTATGATTTGTGGTGTCGTTTCGACATCTGATTTCAGTCATGCGTCGGATACGGGGGACGTCGTAATTTATTTTTATTTACCTCCAGTGGCATTGTGTCATCCGTAGAAGGATGTTTACTTTTGGAGGGACCGTTTGTATTACGTTGAGGGAATAGGGGAGTTTCGCGGGGACGTATCATAATACGCGCAACTCAAATTAAGTAAAACAACAGATACTTCTTAAAGATATTGTTGATTTTAAAGCTCTTGAACTAAAGCCTAATTATTCAGCTTCAGAATCAATGTTTGTGTATTTCTAGTTTTCATGGGTAGATTAACTCTTTGCTCCCGGTAAATCAAATTGTTTACAGCTCAGTGATTCAGGGCCGTCTTATTAATTTAAAAGCTACTTAAAACAAGAACTATTTTGTTTTTAAAAAAAATTGGCTTGTCTTTTAACCACTTTGGTGACCATTATCTGATAAAAAATATCTTGGTGAACATTTGGTGAAATACTTTTACCACAGATTCAATGCAGTCAAAGCACAAAATTGCCTCCAAAAATGAAAACTGTGCTCAAAGACTTAATGCTTGAAAAAAATTACATGTAATATTATTATTTAACTATTGTAAAGACAGTGAACAACACCTGCTTTAATCAAACTTATGACAATTATAAATTAAACTGTCGCATATTTCTAATACATCAAGATGTTCTTAAAAAGATTGAAAATAAATGAGTAAACTTCATATTTACTACTTAATTGTATAATTCAAATTTTATAGATATACAATAACTTAAAGAACAAAGCAGTATCGCTAATTTTTATCTAAGATAATGATCGAGGACATTCTTTTACAGTTAAGTCGATAAGAAGTCGCCATATACAGTAGGTACGTAGAACATACAATAAATAATTTCAATGACGGCTAGCCAGTGTATCAGTGTCGATAAAAAATATTATTCATTTAATTTTCTTAGGTTTTCAAATAAAACAAGTTGCAACGGGTTAGATGCAATGATTTTATTTATTTATTTATTGACGTTTATTCCGATGACACATTCCTGCAAAGGATGCGAAACGTCAATAAATAACCCGTTGAAACTTGTTTTATTTATTAATTTAAATTCACAGTTTTTTTACAACCATAAAAGCAAATTATAGGATGCGCCACTTGCTAGCATGTGTTGCTTGATGCAAAAATTTACTTATACGTAGCATCTGTATTAAAAATAAAATAAAATTAAGAACTAACGAAAAACGCATCTCTCTATCTGAAGAAGAGGATTATAAGAGCGATCAAATTGACTATTAACACAGATTTGATAGCACCAGCACCGCTGTAACTGTAGTATCCCAGTGCACGGGTGTTAATGTCCATCTCGACCAAACTGGCCATTATTTCCTCGCCATTAGGTACTATTTGGTCAGGAGGCAGTAAGAACCCGTATCGGCCTACATCTCTAAGTTCGAACAGATACACAACAGGAGCATTCGTCACACCCTTCACCCAGTCGAAGCTTGATCCACTCACTGCATCTGAAATGTTATTTTACGGCGTTATAATAATTTTAACTCGACTTCGCCAAAAAATATGTTTGACAGGCTCGGCAGTGGTTTGGAGGATTTTTGAATTATTAAGTGACGTCAGAATATTTATATCATTGCGACAGACACTACTTATGAATAAATTGAAGAATACAATATGGCACATCATTCAATATGAAAAAACAAAGAACTTCAGCTGTTACAATCTGGATATCATATTAAAAACTTTGATGATAAATTTTATGGTTATGGTCCAGCTATCATTGAAATAAGTTTTTTTTTATCTTTGTTATTGGAAACTTTCGCTATTGGTGAAATAGCAGATTGAAAAGCGAATGAAATCAGTAATATAATAATAAAATTATCCAACACTCGCACCAATTAGCCTAGCGCCAAAGTAAGCACTGTAGGCAATGGGATATTTGGGTAACGGATAGAATACATAATATATAAGTATATTTATATAAAATACAAGGAGTACAAATACTTGTATTCATCACACAAACATCTGCCCCCACCAGGATTCGATGCGTACATACCACTCGGCCACGGAGGTCGTTATGAGTTCGTAACAATAAGTAAAAAAAATGGTTGCCTGTAAAGTCGGTTTTACGGGCGAAGATTTTACGTGACAACGTCTTTTTCTCGGTAGAATATTTATTGATATGAATATAATTAAATTGCACAATAGGAACAAGGAATTGAATGAAAATAAGAATTGCACAAATTTTAACTATAGAAATATATTTTGTTTACTAAAACATTGTACATGTAAACTTAAACTTAACACGAGAGACTCATCGTAACGTTACCGAGCGTTACACTTTTTCATAAGTGACTCCCAGCCGCAACCTAATTTAAGACGTTGTCACGTCAAAATAAAACGTTACTATTCTGTAGTAAAACAAATAGAATACTTCATGGAAAGGCAGAAATGATTGGTGTGAAGAAATCAAATATGTTTGAGTGACAGTGGGAAATAAAATTACAGATAATTTTTACTATAACCATATCGTTGGATTCTCGGTATCTCGTAACTATCCAAATTTGAAATAAAATAGTAAAATACAAAAATCGTTTCGAAAGATACTTACACAATATTTCAGCAGAAGTTCCTACAATATAATCAGTACCGTGAACTGCCTCTAACTTATCAGCACTACGAATTGCTATTTCATACTGAAACACAAAAATAAATAACTTATCTATGAATTCCCGAACCCCACAAAAGAAAAAGTCTTGAAATTGCAAGAACAGTAAAAAGTGTTTTGTCGCTTTTAAAAGAAAATATTTGATTTATAATGAAAGCCAAATCATTAATTGATAATAAATCTCAACTGACCCAGAGTCTAACAAACTTTCACATTTATTATATTAAATAGGATATAATTCTTTTATATAAATAAAAATTTATGTACGCGCATAACTTTCGAGTGACTGCACCAGATTGATATATTTTTAATTTTTTAAGGTTTGTTATAGTAGTCAGAACAATGTTTGTAAAAAAATTAAAAGATCGAACAGAATAAAATGACGGTAAGAAGTTAGTCGGGTCAGCTGGCAAGAAATAAATTCATTAAAAATAATGCGAAAATAAAATACATATATAACATATACACAATATAACAAGAAAACAGTATAAATTTTGACAACGGATTGAATTTGTTATGCTAAATAAAAAATATGTTAAAACTAATGTTATGTTTAAGTCAATGTAGATAATTAGTTACACACTAGAATATGATAGTATGGTCTTCTTCAATAACAGGTAGACAATTTTGGCGTTTATGTCACTTTTTTTTTTACTTTTCTTCATTTAACTTACAAAAAATGACACAATTATTAAGAACTAGCGGCCGCCTATGTCTGCGTCCACGTTAACTTTAGTTTTATCATATTCCCATAGGAATCCGACATTTTTCCGGCACGACAAGTATCCTATACGTACAAAATTTCATCCAAATCCGTCCAGTGGTTAAGGCGTAACAAACAAACAACCAAACAAACTCACTTTCGCATTTATAACATTAGAGAGGATTAGCATTTTATAATTCTACTAGCTGACCCACCGAACTTCATACCGCCATAAAAAATAGGGGTTGGTGGTAGAAGGGTGAAAATTGGGGTTGGGGTATATAGGGTTGTATGTTTTTTTGTATCATAAAAAAAACAAAAAATTTTGTACAAAAAAAAATTTAAGGGTGGACCGGACCACCCTTAACATTTAGGGGGATGAAAAATAGATGTTGTCCGATTCTCAGACCTACCCAATATGCACACAAAATTTCATGAGAATCGGGAAAGCCGTTTCGGAGGAGTTTAACCACAAACACCGCGACACGAGAATTTTATATATTAGATAATTGAAAACTTCTCAGAAGCTTACCATATCAGCGTAATTGTCGGCCTGCAACACTTGATTCCCAGTAGCGTGGCTGAAAGGCACCAAGATCATTTGACTGTACGAGTGGAAAGCTACGTAATATATCATGTTGGTAGTGGTATTCAGTTGTGTCACATAGTTAATGATCGCTTGAGTTTCCAACTCTGATGATGGAATCGGACCAGCATAAGTATTGTCGCAAGGGTTGCTTGATGCACCGATAGCTGGAAATGGAAAAACGTTCAATAGGGAAATCGAAATTGTGAATAACAAAATTAAGACAAGAAATGTTTCAATATTGTGACAATACGGAACAATATACATTTAAGATTTTATTTATGTTTTAAGCATTTAACTGCTAGATGTTTAAATCTAAAGAAAAGTTTACTAGAAAAAAAATCCACGCGGACCAGGCAGCGGACGGGACTCGAACCCGCATCCTTCGCTATCCGGGCGAATGCACTGACCATTATGCTACCACGGCCCTATTAGCCGCGTCGAAATTTTCCTAGCCTTAAGCTGCAAGGCAACGCCATCTCTTCGAATTGTAGGTAACCCACAATGTCAAATGAATACTTTTTCACATTTCGACATTTCGACGCGGCTAATAGGGCCGCGGTAGCATAATGGTCAGTGCATTCGCCCGGATAGCGAAGGATGCGAGTCCCGTCCGCTGCCTGGTCCGCGTGGATTTTTTTCTAGTAAACTTTTCTTTAAATATACATTTAAGGTGAATTAAAATCCTAATAAAATTAATATACTCGTATAAGCACAATGGATTATGTTTTCGTTTGCGTACATGAGTTAAATATTGTGAGTAGGTATAGTCCGTTCCTATACTTATGAGTATAGTATTCAGAATAACATATTTGACCCGTGTACTTTGACACCATCTAATTAGTACCTATTGACGTAATAGTTTTTTTAAGTGTGTATGCTGTTGGTCGCAAATGACCTTTATAGCGTCACCGGGTTTGGGGACGGCGAGAGCCTAAGCGGATCCCAAGCCGGGAATTGGCGAGTGCCTCTAGAGGTATTCCAAGCGGATGGCATCTTCCCACGGGGGGAATCTCCTCTCCGTCTGAAGTCTCTAGACCACTCGACGTAATAGTGCTATGGTGTCATCATCATCATCAGCCTATTAATGTCCCCACTGCTGGGGCACAGGCCTTCCCTATAGATGGAATAGGGAGATAGGCCCATGACCCACCACGCGGGCCCAATGCGGATTGGCGGGTTATGCCTGTGGTGTAATTGCTCTTAAATATATTAAGTAGTAGGAGATTTCATGACAGTTATGTTATAGATATTATATTTTGCAAGCGAATTAAATTATTAATACTGCATTTATTTAAGATTTAGCATGAGTCGGTAAAATCGACGTTGACCTAATAACTATACACACATGAAATAGTCATTTTATTATTATTTTATATAGAAAAAAACAGCCCAGATGTTTTTAGTAGTGATCAAATTTAATGATACGCTAAGCAAAGTTATAAAAGAGTTTGATAAACACAGGTTAATATATTATATTATACACAGGTTAATATATTATATTATACACAGGTTAATATATTATATTATACACTGGGGAATATATAATATTTTATTATATATGAATTTAAGATACTTATTAAGTAGCTTAAAATCATAATTATCTTTTGAATTCATCAAAATTAAATTTTCTAAAAACAGCATCTCAAAAATCTCTTCTGACAACAAACTATTTCTTTTTCTCATCAGCTGTTGTATAAGTATCAGTATTTCGTTCGAAATAGGTTTTTTGGTTATTCCAAAAGCGTTTTTTTTTCTTCCGGAAAGTGCCGACATAATTTACTTTAAATTCCCTCGGTAGCAATATTTTTTGTGAGCATCCTCACAAGTGTTTGTCGTAAACAGTTTTGTTGATTAATTTTGTAATAAATTCCAAACTGCTGGGATATTCCAACAGGATAAACAGTATGCTATATTAATATCAGCTGAAAATTCATCTAATACAGAGAGAAAAAAATATTATTATTTTTCTGTAAACAGACTCTATCAAGGTTACATGCGATAAAATCTGTTATAACCTATGTGTCATGTAAACTACTTTCAACCGAATAAAATTAAGAGCCCTTTTTGAGCGCCTCGTTTACCCCCATAGAAAAGATTTTGACTATTTCAATAGAAGAAAACAGTAGATTTATTCTTCCTATTGTAAGTTAATGTAGAATATTTGTAAATACTATTTTCCCTTTTATGTACTGATCGTTCTACTGCAGCTACTACGACATCATTAATATGTTTTTGTTGTGACATAATGTATTAGAATTTTCATTTTCCATCTTATTAATTATCAAAAAAAACATCTAACCTCCGTGAGTTTTCCCAAAAAAAAATGCAGGTTTACCTCGTATTTTGATATTGAATTAAATAGAATTACTATCAAAAACTTTCATAAAACAAATTTACCATCATTAGACTACCGAAATATGTATATCTTTTTATTGTTAGTTTATTAATAATTATTTTATAAGACTCGAAATATCACCCGTAAAATGCAATATATACTAGTGCAAATCTACCTACGCGCCGATCAGTACGGCCGCGGCGCAATTTTGTAAAAGGGCTCTTAAAATGGCTTATTTATTTATTTTATAAGCTCTTTTTTAAAACTATCGGGATACCTCCTCATATTATCATACTCAGGAGTTAATAACTAAAAAATACTAAGTAACTAAAATAGAGCTACAATAAAATCATTTTCACGCTAGTTCATCCGTTTTATCCATTTACAATGAAACTGATATAATAGATTATTTTTTTTAAAGAAAAACTTACTCATCCATAAGAAGCCAAAATTCCTATTGAGATCAATACCGTTGCCAATATCGTTATTGGTACCACAAGAGACATGGTTCGCCGGATTTCTATTTTTTCTCCACATACGATTCTATAAGCAATGACACATTAACTAACTTATGTTAATTAATTAGATTAATTAAGAAATAAAATCGAATTTATAGAAAATAGCTGCAATAAATTAAATTTAATACAGTAAACAGCATTTTAACATTACTCCAAGAATTGTATTTCAATCAATACTAGGTAATTTACATTGAAAAAAAAATTTGTGTCCAATAAGCTAAAAAGTTCTTTCAGTGTTGAACTATAAAATATTTTAGAAAGGTTCCTTGGTTTACTTACGTCTGTGAAAGTATACTCATAGCCATCTGGATTGATAACTGGAAAGATGTGCCAAACGAAAGCTTCAGCCATAAACCTGACATCTGGATCTCTGCTAGTCAAGAACTCTTTAATTATCCACGTTAAAGTTGCTGGTGATATCCACTCTCTAGCATGAATACCGCCTTCTAACATTCCGGTCAAAGGTCTTTCTCCTCTGTTACCAGCTTTGAAATCTATAACAACTCCTTTGATATCGCGACCTTCAAAAGATTTACCAATGACGACGGTCCGTACCACGTTTGGATATAATTGTTGAAGTTCATCCAGCCATGAATGGATTTGTGCTAGGTTGTAGTACTGGTTCCAAGAGTAAGAGCCGAGCCTGCTCGATTTTGTTGAAGCAGATGGCTTAAGTTGAGCATCGATTAACCTGGTATCAAATGAGGAAATAATTACTTCAATCAATTTTATAATAATGGCTATACATGTTCAAGATGTTGGAAATTATCAGTTACCTACTTTCTTGTTCCATATTAATATTTACTTTAATAAGTATTGTCTCTGCAATTTCAATACATCAAGACAAACAAAGGTAAATCAATTTAAGATACTCACTCTTGAACATTTCTAATGGTCATTTCCGCATCTAAATTGAAACTCTTAAGGTATGACACAAATTCCGCTTCTTGGTCTGGAGACACCAAAATTCTGATATCATTGTTGACCGCCAAAAAATCCGTCCAGAAATCATAATTTCCTCCCTTTTGTAAATCGGTCAATATTTGTACATGGACTTCTGATTTGGGAATCACCTTGTAGACTTTATAGTTTTCATAGCTTTTATAGGCAAAACTTGAAACGAAAATTCCAAAAAGAACTAATGCGACTTTTCCAATCATGCTGACAACATCGGTTTAAGAAATGGAACACACTGAATAGTCTAACAGTTAATTGTTGATAATAATCTTATAAATTTTATCTTTTACAATAAAGATAGGTATATAATATAAATTTTATCTATTGATACCTGTTCTAAAGCTTCGACCACATGAACTACGAGAAATTATAACTACTAGAAAATTCTTTTCTCTCACATGACGCATTTACATGGAGCCATCATATACTACACGGTTGGCCAGGTATCAATTCGCTTTGCTAATATTGTGTCGAGTTGGTGAATAACCCATATAATTTAAAAAAAAAACAAAATTCAATATCTTTTATTCAGTCTAGGCTGTTACAAGCACTGGTAAATGTAGAAAAGCTACGCCATCAGTTCGAAAATCTACGGCGGGAGACCTTGTACTGAGAAGAACCGACAAGAAACTCAGCAAGGGCTGTTTTTTTCTCCCTGTATTATAAACAGAGTCGTCAAATTGAAAAATGACTACAATATGATATAACTCATGAAGACACTTTCCATTACAAATGTAAATGATATAAAAATTATGACTATAAAATAAAAAAATATAAAAAAGGTAAATTTAAAAAATCAAAAAACCCGACTGCTTTATTATACTTCAAATAAAAACTGAAAAGAAAAAAACAAGTCCAGTAGTCTATAATTCTGTTAATAAGGAACAAAGCTACTTTAACAGTCGGGACCCATTAGATATTCAAGAAATACATAATATTTTTCAACAGTGGGTCCCGACTGTTAAAGTAGCTTTGTTCCTTATTAACAGAATTATAGACTACTGGACTTGTTTTTTTCTTTTCAGTTTTTATTTGAAGTATAATAAAGCAGTCGGGTTTTTTGATTTTTTAAATTTACCTTTTTTATTTCACACTTTTTAGTCAGTTAGTATTTTAAGACGGTATATACCGTAGTCTTGTTACTTCAGTAAGGGAATTAATGTCGCGGGAATTATTAAGTACCTTGCGTCGGTCTAAAAGATTGATTTATTAAGACATATAGAGACTTTACCAGCGGGGTCAAGGCTACAGATGGGCCTCAATTTTCGCAAAAATGTGTGAAGTTAAATCAAGTCGTTAAATAAATATCTCTAATGTATGTAAATTTTATAGTAAACTAGCTGACCCAGCGAACTTCGTACCGCCGTAAAAAAAATTAATTAAAAAAACATTGTCCAGCGGACAAAATTGTGAATCTAAACCATTCTCAGATCCCCTTGAACACACACAAAAAATTTCATCAAAATCGGTCCTGTCGTTTAAAAGAAGTTCAGTGACATACACACTCACAGAAGAATTATATATATAAAGACTAGCACTTACTCAAAAAGTCATCTTTTGTATTTTTTATGTATTTTTTAATAGTTTAGCAGTAAATATAAAATTCATTTACCTTTATTCGTCGACTATTTAAAATTGGCAGTGGCTGCATTCTCATGTCAATGCCGGACGTCTAAGATTGTGATATACACAAATGCAGTGTCAGTCCCTAGTCTCATAATTTGATATACCTACATAATTCACAGAAACCCAATATGTAGATGCCAGAAGTTAACTTCAAATGTTTTTAATCAACCTATATACAATACCAAACAATGACGTTTATGTCGCAGGTTGAAGAAAGCAGTAATTCCCGTTTGTTGTTTTGGACAATGGTGGCAACTGCCTTAGATCACTAAATTAAATAATTATGCAATCACCGAAGCAAAGTTTATAATATTTGATTAAACTAAAGGCGCATAATAAAATTTTCTTAACGTTAGGTAGAACACCATAGCAATCTCATTTATTATCAATTTATAGTTCTCTTTGTAGTTTTCTTTTAAAGCGTTCACATATAACAGGTCAAAGACTTTGTGATCGACCCTTTTTATTGGTAGTGTAAAGCTCGAATGAAGAGTACTCCCAGTAGTGCAATCATGGCAATTATTTTCCAAATTTTTTTTGTTTAAAAAAATACCGAAAAACCTGTCACTGTTAAGCACAAATGCTAAGTAACTTTTACAAATATAATCAAATAAACCTATTACTTACTTTATTTTTAAATCTTTTTCATCAATTAAATACTTATCTTATCCTAACTATCTATACTAATATTATAAAGAGGCAAGATTTGTATGTTTGTAACAAATAATCTGTCAAACTAATGAACCGGTTTCAAATATTAATTCATCATAAGGTAGCTTCATTATTTATTATTACATTTTTCTTTATTTAAATATGTATTTAATGTATTTACATTTATACATTTTTTCCGAGTGACATAGGTTATATTTTATCCCGATAAATAAATTTCGCCCGTACAATGCCTGGGTGGATCACTAGTAAGTATAATATAATATTATAGATGCGAAATTGAGTTTGTTTGTTGCGCTTCCGTGCCCTAATAGCTAAGTCGAATATAATGAATTCCCATATAGAAGTAGATGGGAACTTGGTTCTTAGCTACAACATCGCAATACTTATAGGCGTAGGGTGATGAAAGGGGTTATTTACCTATAAAAATCTACATTATTTAAATCTAAAGAAAATATAACTAGAAAAAATTTCACGCGGACCAGGCAGCAGACGGGACTCGAACCCGCACCCTTCGCAATCCGGGCGAATGCACTGACCAATTATGCTACCGCGGCCCTCACGGACCGCGTCGAAATTCTTTCTAGCTATTCTTAAGCTGCAAGGCAGCGCCATCTCTTCGCATTATAGGTAAACCCACAATGTCAAATGAATACTTTTACAAGTATTAAACATTTGAAAGAAGAAATAGCAATTATAGTTATAATATTTATTATTTTTAAAGCATGTAACTGCTTGATGTTTAAATCTAAAGAAAATATAACTAGAAAAAATTTCACGCGGACCAGGCAGCAGACGGGACTCGAACCCGCACCCTTCGCAATCCGGGCGAATGCACTGACCAATTATGCTACCGCGGCCCTCACGGACCGCGTCGAAATTCTTTCTAGCTATTCTTAAGCTGCAAGGCAGCGCCATCTCTTCGCATTATAGGTAAACCCACAATGTCAAATGAATACTTTTACAAGTATTAAACATTTGAAAGAAGAAATAGCAATTATAGTTATAATTTTTATTATTTTTAAAGCATGTAACTGCTTGATGTTTAAATCTAAAGAAAATATAACTAGAAAAAATTTCACGCGGACCAGGCAGCAGACGGGACTCGAACCCGCACCCTTCGCAATCCGGGCGAATGCACTGACCAATTATGCTACCGCGGCCCTCACGGACCGCGTCGAAATTCTTTCTAGCTATTCTTAAGCTGCAAGGCAGCGCCATCTCTTCGCATTATAGGTAAACCCACAATGTCAAATGAATACTTTTACAAGTATTAAACATTTGAAAGAAGAAATAGCAATTATAGTTATAATTTTTATTATTTTTAAAGCATGTAACTGCTTGATGTTTAAATCTAAAGAAAATATAACTAGAAAAAATTTCACGCGGACCAGGCAGCAGACGGGACTCGAACCCGCACCCTTCGCAATCCGGGCGAATGCACTGACCAATTATGCTACCGCGGCCCTCACGGACCGCGTCGAAATTCTTTCTAGCTATTCTTAAGCTGCAAGGCAGCGCCATCTCTTCGCATTATAGGTAAACCCACAATGTCAAATGAATACTTTTACAAGTATTAAACATTTGAAAGAAGAAATAGCAATTATAGTTATAATTTTTATTATTTTTAAAGCATGTAACTGCTATAATGCGAAGAGATGGCGCTGCCTTGCAGCTTAAGAATAGCTAGAAAGAATTTCGACGCGGTCCGTGAGGGCCGCGGTAGCATAATTGGTCAGTGCATTCGCCCGGATTGCGAAGGGTGCGGGTTCGAGTCCCGTCTGCTGCCTGGTCCGCGTGAAATTTTTTCTAGTTATATTTTCTTTAGATTTAAACATCAAGCAGTTACATGCTTTAAAAATAATAAAAATTATAACTATAATTGCTATTTCTTCTTTCAAATGTTTAATACTTGTAAAAGTATTCATTTGACATTGTGGGTTTACCTATAATGCGAAGAGATGGCGCTGCCTTGCAGCTTAAGAATAGCTAGAAAGAATTTCGACGCGGTCCGTGAGGGCCGCGGTAGCATAATTGGTCAGTGCATTCGCCCGGATTGCGAAGGGTGCGGGTTCGAGTCCCGTCTGCTGCCTGGTCCGCGTGAAATTTTTTCTAGTTATATTTTCTTTAGATTTAAACATCAAGCAGTTACATGCTTTAAAAATAATAAAAATTATAACTATAATTGCTATTTCTTCTTTCAAATGTTTAATACTTGTAAAAGTATTCATTTGACATTGTGGGTTTACCTATAATGCGAAGAGATGGCGCTGCCTTGCAGCTTAAGAATAGCTAGAAAGAATTTCGACGCGGTCCGTGAGGGCCGCGGTAGCATAATTGGTCAGTGCATTCGCCCGGATTGCGAAGGGTGCGGGTTCGAGTCCCGTCTGCTGCCTGGTCCGCGTGAAATTTTTTCTAGTTATATTTTCTTTAGATTTAAACATCAAGCAGTTACATGCTTTAAAAATAATAAAAATTATAACTATAATTGCTATTTCTTCTTTCAAATGTTTAATACTTGTAAAAGTATTCATTTGACATTGTGGGTTTACCTATAATGCGAAGAGATGGCGCTGCCTTGCAGCTTAAGAATAGCTAGAAAGAATTTCGACGCGGTCCGTGAGGGCCGCGGTAGCATAATTGGTCAGTGCATTCGCCCGGATTGCGAAGGGTGCGGGTTCGAGTCCCGTCTGCTGCCTGGTCCGCGTGAAAAATTTTTTCTAGTTATATTTTCTTTAGATTTAAACATCAAGCAGTTACATGCTTTAAAAATAATAAAAATTATAACTATAATTGCTATTTCTTCTTTCAAATGTTTAATACCCGCACCCTTCGCCAGGATTGCGAAGGGTGCGGGTTCGAGTCCCGTCTGCTGCCTGGTCCGCGTGAAATTTTTTCTAGTTATATTTTCTTTAGATTTAAACATCAAGCAGTTACATGCTTTAAAAATAATAAAAATTATAACTACATTATTTACTTTGAATTTTACAGAGTTATTAAAAAACCAATATTAATACTAGCAAAAAATGGGTTATTTGTCATTACATTAAGTAAACCTTTTTTGTAACATTAAGTAATATCGTTAAAAAAATGAAAAACAGTAAAATTCTGAGTTTTTCATTGAAATTCAATAATCATAAATACCTATTATCTCTTATCTATTAGACAAGTCCGTCCGTCCGTCCGTGGTGCTGTTTCAGCGGCCAAACCGTAAGAGATAGATAAAGAGAATGTTTAAGTTATAAGTTGAGAATAGTCTGATAAGACTACAAACCGGATGTGAGTAACGTAGCACTTCCGGTTTTCGAGAAATCACGTGATTTCTATTTCAAACGAAACCACACAAAATCTCGGAAGTTCTCAATTAATTAAATACATTTTTTTTTTGGTGAACATTTGTGGTGGTTCACTGGTTTGCTAGTGATAATATATTTTTCATCATTTAATAAGAAGGAACTGTATCACAGTTTTATTGTTAGTACTTCGTATAGGATCAGATACTGCGAATAGCCCATTTTTTTTTCTTTTACATAGTACACCGCGCTATCACTTATTCATCGTTGTAACTTTTTACCCGGCTGCGCAATGCAAGAGCGCGAAGCGCGACGCGCAGACAGGGTTATGTGTTTAACAGTCTATATATGTATGTTTGTTCCTTTGTGGCACACTAGAGACCAAACGCCTGAACCGATTTTGATGATTCATACATCAATCGATTCGTCTCAATCATGGGAGTGCTACTAAAGATATGATAGTAATCAAAATTCAATATGGGCAAAATAAGGCGCCATATTGTGACGAAGTAAAAAAAATAAGTTGACAAAATATGTCGAGTGGGATATCACTGTCTAGATAATCAAAAATCATATTTAGGTTTCTAATACCATTTTTCATTTTATATTATTGTTTAGGATCTACAACGCTTTAAAGTTGTATATTAACCACTTCCACTTTTAATTTCAATCTTACGTTTGTATGGATTTTTGTTACTCTTTCACCTAAAAAATACTGAATGGATTTTATTGAAACTTAACAGTAATATAGCTCATATATGATAATTACATATATATAATAATTTATGTAGTTATTGAGTGAATTGGCCAATATATAGCAATAAGTGTCACATAAGACGGAAAAAAATGTCCCATCTGTGAGCCATTTTGGCCTGCACTGCAAAAACAATAAAAGTTACATGAATGTAATGTAGAGTGAAAATGTATCTCTTAAATAGTTCTAAAAAAAAGTCCGTGACACCATATATTTATTTTTAATGTGTAAGTCATTACCGCTAAAATAGTGAACAAAACTAAAATATTATTTGATATCTATTTCCCAAATGCACATTTGTATTAACAAATATTTTTTTATCAAAACAAACACTTTAATCGCTTTTGATATTTAAAGACGATAAACTTTGCTTTTTACACTATGTCATTTCGACGAATATTTAAAAAGTTACAACGATGACAAAGTGATAGCGCGGTGTACTATGTAAAAGATAAAAAAATGGGGTATTCGCAGTATCTGATCCTATACGAAGTACTAACATTAAAACTGTGATACAGTTCCTTCTTATTAAATGATGAAAAATATATTATCATAATAGGTATTTATGATTTTTGAATTTTAATGAAAAACTCAGAATTTTACTGTTTTTCATTTTTTTAACGATATTACTTAATGTTACAAAAAAGGTTTACTTAATATAATGACAAATAACCCATTTTTCGCTAGTAAGTACATACTTATTGAAATCTCTGTATTTATTAATCAGCTCGCGATAATATTGGTTTTGTAATAATTCTGCAAAATTCAAAGTAAATAGTAGATTTTTATAGGTAAATCACCCCTTTCATCACCCTACGCCTATAAGTATTGCGATGTTGTAGCTAAGAACGAAGTTCCCATCTACTTCTATATGGGAATTCATTAAATTCGATTTAGCTATTAGGTGCGCGGAAGCGCAACAAACAAACTCACTTTCGCATCTATAATATTATATTATACTTACTAGTCCACTCGGGCATTGTACGGGCGAAATTTATTTATCGGGATAAAATATACCCTACTTTTGTCACTCGGACAAAATGTATTTAAATAAAGAAAAATGTTATAATAAATAATGTAGCTACTTTATGATGAATTAATATTTGAAACCGGTTCAGTAGTTTGACAGATTATTTGTTACAAACATACAAATCTTGCCTCTTTATAATATTAGTATGGATAGTTAGGATAAGATAAGTATTTAATTGATGAAAAGGATTTAAAAATAATGTAAGTAATAGGTTTATTTGATTATATTTGTTAAAGTTACTTAGCATTTGTGCTTAACAGTGATACGCTATTCGGTATTTTTATAAGAAAAAAATTTGGAAAATAATTGCCATGACTGCACTACTGGGAGTACTCTTCATTCGAACTTTACACTACCAATAGAAAAGGGTCGAACACAAAGTCTTTGACCTGTTAAATGTGAACGCTTTAAAAGAAAACTACAAAGAGAACTATAAATTGATAATAAATGAGATTGCTATGGTGCTCTACCTAACGTTATGAAAATTTTATTATGCGCCTTTAGTTTAATCAAATATTATAAACTTTGCTTTGGTGATTGCATAATTATTTAATTTAGTGATCTAAGGCAATTGCCACCATTGTCCAAAACAACAGATGGGAATTACTTCTTTCTTCAACCTGCGACATAAACGTCATTGATTGGTATTGTATATAGGCTGATTAAAAACATTTGAAGTTAACTTCTGGCATCTACATATTGGGTTTCTGTGAATTATGTAGGTATATCAAATTATGAGACTAGGGACTGACACTGAATTTCTGTATATCACAATCTTAGACGTCCGGCATTGACATGACAATGCCGCCACTGCCAATTTTAAATAGTCGACGAATAAAAGTAAATGAATTTTATATTTACTGCTAAACTATTTAAAAAAAACATAAACAAAAGATGACTTTTTGAGTAAGTGCTAGTTTACTATAAAATTTATATACATTAGAGATATTTATGTAACGAGTTGATTTAACTTCACACATTTTTGCGAAAATTGAGGCCCATCTGTAGCCTTGACTTCGCTGGTAAAGTCTTTATATGTCTTAATAAATCAATCTTTTAGACCGACGCAAGGTACTTAATAATTCCCGCGATATTAATTCTATTACTGAAGTAACAAGACTACGGTATATACCGTCTTAAAATACTAACTAAAAAGTGTGAAATAAAAAAGGTAAATTTAAAAAATCAAAAAACCCGACTGCTTAATTATTCTTCAAATAAAAACTGAAAAGAAAAAAACAAGTCCAGTAGTCTATAATTCTGTTAATAAGGAACAAAGCTACTCTAACAGTCGGGACCCACTGTTGAAAAATATTATGTATTCTTGAATATCTAATGGGTCCCGACTGTTAAAGTAGCTTTGTTCCTTATTAACAGAATTATAGACTACTGGACTTGTTTTTTTCTTTTCAGTTTTTTAAATATTTGTCGAAATGACATAGTGTATAAAGCAAAGTTTATCGTCTTTAAATATCAAAAGCGATAAAAGTATTTGTTTGGATAAAAAATGATTTGTTAATACAAAATGTGCATTTTGGAAATAGATATCAAATAATATTTTAGTTTTGATTCACTATTTAAGCGGTAATGACTTACACATTAAAAATAGATATATGGTGTCACGGACTTTTGTTTAGAACTATTTAAGAGATACATTTTCACTCTACATTACATTCATGTAACTTTTATTGTTTTTTCAGTGCAGGCCAAAATAGTTCGCAGATGGGAGATTTTTTTCCGTCTTATGTGACACTTATTGTCATATATTGGTAATTATCATATATGAGCTATATTACTGTTAAGTTTCATTAAAATCCATTCGGTATTTTTAGGTGAAAGAGTAACAAAGATCCATACAAACGTAAGATTGAAATTAAAAGCGTAAGTGGTTAATATACAACTTTAAAGCGTTGTAGATCCTAAACAATCATATAAAATGAAAAATAGTGTTAGGAACCTAAATATGATTTTTGATTATCTAGACAGTGATAGCCCACTCGACATATTTTGTCAACTTATTTTTTTTACTTCGTCACAATATGGTGCCTAATATTGCCCATATTGAATTTTGATTACTATCATATCTTTAGTAGCACTCCCATGATTGAGACGAATCGATTGATGTATGAATCATCAAAATCGGTCCAGGCGTTTGGTCTCTAGTGTGCCACAAAGGAACAAACATACATATATAGACTGTTAAACACATAACCCTGTCTGCGCGTCGCGCTTCGCGCTCTTGCATTGCGCAGCCGGGTAAAAACTGATTTAACAATGGTAAAGTTTAGGAATATTTAGGAATGCCGTGTCCTACTGTTTAGGTATAAAAAAATCAACAGCATAAAAAACAACGATCACAGTACCCAATGCAGCAAGAGCAGACTCATCTCCGCTGGCACCACCCGTTCACGAGCATGACGCATGAACCAGCCATCGCTTCGCTCAACCATTTTTCAGAGTCACTATTACACAGGCGATTAAAATCGCTGTTTTCTGCGAAAACTCAGTGAAGCTGCTGTTCAAATCAATGTGTTGTGTATAATCTGCGATTGACTATTTACAAAGCAGGCAAGCAACTTATCTACTAATATGCTTCCACATGGCTAAAATCGAAACACTTCACATCTTTAATCTTATATAGTCAAATGTGTTTCGCCACTTACCAGAAAATATCGATTTATTGCCGTACGGTCAAAAACTCGACATGTGCAAATGCTACTTAATCGTGATCAACTTATTTTTTTAAGCATTTAACTCCTAATTGTTTAAAACTAAACAAAATTTTACTAAAAAAAAATCACCCAGTCGAGGTTTCAGACAGGATTGTGAATATAAATATTTGACGCTAGTACAACAAAGATTCACATTATAGTGTGGTCAATGCTTAAACTCGATTCACTAGATAAAACAATTGATATCAAGTCTGCTCAAAACTGTTTCCGAATTATAAAATATTTACTACGTCCATAATTGATAGATTAACATCAAGAATTACGTTAAATTTTTATTTATCGTTTATAAAAATAATAGCGATAACGAAAACGAATAATGAGAAGCAGACTTTCATTGGTATTTAGGTGAAATTAACTTAAAATAAAGATCAATATGCTTTACTTCAAAAACGTTTTTAATACTTAATTATCCAAAACAAAATCACTTTATTTGGCGAGTAACATTGCAGCTAGTAAAAGAATCATGAAACCACTAGCAGTGAAGCTATGCGCTGAACCCCTGTAATATCCCATGGATCTAGCAACTCTGTCCATTTCAACCATTCCGTCCATAGTTTCTTCGCTAGTCGGGATTATTTCTTCCGGTGGTAGAAGAAATCCGAACCGGCCAGTGTCTCGCAGTTCGAATAAGAAGACTAAAGGAAAATGAGCACCACCTTTTGCCCAATCGAAACCAGACCCGCTGACTTCATCTGAAATATTGCATGAATTTACACAATACAATACAACACACAGTACTTTATTGAAAACACTACAACACAGAACAGAAATGAGGGACATTGCAATACAGGGAGGGACTGTAAAAAAAAAGAATGCTTCAATGGGCGATCTTATCGCTAAAAGCGATTTCTTGCAGACAACCTTTGGATGGAGAGGATTGAAAGAAAGCTGGAGTCGGCGGTATCAGTGAAAGAAATAAGGGATATAAGCGAATTTATTAATTAAATATATATAAATACTTATTATATATACATAGACTACACATATATAAGTTTAGTCCAGTCAGCAGCAGAATTTAATCAACTTAGATAAAGTTTATCATATCAAGATATTTGTTAAATTATTTAGGTTTAACAAATACTTTAACACGTTACTTGTACCCTTAGCACGAACCAATATCGAATTCGTAACGTTTGCGAGTCCGAAATGTCATTGTCAAATGTGTACTGATTTTTAGTTTTTGTTACGTACTTTGTGCCGCTGCTGTTCACGTTTCCATACAAAATTTGACATTGACATTTCGGTTTGCAAACTATTCGAATTCGATAATGGTTCGTGCTAGGGGTACTGGTGCTTAATATCCCGTTACTTTTTACAGTACTTTTTTATTAGACAAATTTAATGATTCATTAAGTATATTAGCAGATTACCGTTAAATCAATAGATTTTAAGAACATCTACTTAATTAACGTGACTTTGGTTAGTGAGACAAAATACCAGAAAAGACATTTTATTGTTCAAATAAACAATATTAAAAGTTCTGTACTATCGCTTAAACATGTCGAGTTTCAGGTTAAGTACATAACATCGTTGTAGAGCGAATAGTCACCAAGTACTTATTTATTTAATTGCACATGTACTGCATATGTGCAATAGGATATTAAACAACTATTTTAGCATGGTACATGACCCTGTTGGGGAGTGGCAAGTAAAGTTAATACCTATATCTATATACAGTAAAGACGTAATTTTTGACCCTCAAATCCAGTATCAACATTTTAGTTAGCGAGTTGTAAAAACTTATTTAATCTGTCTGGATCATTTTAAAAAAGGAATAACCAGTCATTCGAAAACTAATCAAGTCATTTAGTTTATTATTTATCTACATATTTTGCCATGTAAAAAATAATCATTTTTTTTAATAAATCAGTTATGATTTATTTTGTATAGCGGAAATTAACTAACCCGATTAAGATAGTGTGTTGCAGTTCAAAAGTAAAGTTATTGTTTATTTGCACTATCTGAAATCAAAACTATTAGTCGTATAGACATGGCTGTATAGTTGAAATACGTAGAAAAAAAATGTGATTTCGATTATATATCTTATATATTTTTTGCTAAAAGGCTACTTGGTGACTTTTCGCTCTACGGCAACAATATTTACCTATTATAATCATAATTTTTATTGCTTCATAATATTAATAAGCTTAATAGTTAATGTATTGCTTACATAAAATATCGGCAGATGTTCCCACACGGTATGTTGTGTTATGTCTTGCGGTTAGTTTATCCATTCCCTTGATACCTATTTCAAACTGAAAGAAAGAATAGCTTGTTTTTATTATGGTAATTGCTTGCTTATTAAGTATTTTTCTCTTTCGTCATAATATTATATCTTGCAAAGAAAAGATTATGAGAGCGAAAAAAATGTTCTAGATAGAGGGATATTTTCTACCTTTGACATTAAAAATATTTTCGTGGTACACACAAGTCAAGAGTACCTACTCTAGGCAAAAAAACTATACTTAAATGTTATTGTAAAATAAATTACTCTTTTAATTGTGGTATACATTAGTTCCTTGATATGATTGTACGTACCTCTAATAATTGAGGTTTTTTTAAATTTAAATATTTTATATTTTATCGCGCACTTAAATCAATTTAATAAAACCAATCATTTTAATAAAAAAAAAATATAAAAAGTTTTAAATCACTAAATATTTTATCAGAACATAAAATAATTGAAGGTGTAGGTCGGTTGGGGTTAGCATGATTCGTTTGTAATTGTACAAGTTATGCAATTTTCTACTCTAACATGTCTTGAGATACGATTAGTGACCAAAAATATATAAATCATCTCGAGTTCTTTCTCGCATCTTGAGACACTATATTATCTGCGGTCTTTAGGAGCAGGTCAAATGTGCATTAAAATAGAATACTAGAATACCGTAATAAACTAAACTAATAGGCGGGGCTTAAAAGGTGGAAGATGATCCAGATAGACATGAAATAGTCAATTTAGCGCTTACCAAGTCAGCATAGTTATCTGCTTCTAAAACATCGCTGCCTCTCACATGGCTGTATGGTATTAATAGAAGTTGAGTATAGGAATGGAAGCTCAGGTAGTATAATAGAGAGCCTCGCTCTTGCAATCCATTTATCAAGTTGGCCATAGCAAGAGATTCCGCTTCAGAGAAAGCTGATGGGCCCGCATACGTAATGTCACAAGGGTTGCCTGATGCACCAACAGCTATAAATGATAAAAACATTTCTGCGTGATTATACTTAACTAGCGGCCCGCCCTCGCTTCGCTTCGGTGTAGAGCTGAAGTGTAGACTACAGTTTTTTGTTCTCAGGCTTGTACACAATGACATTCATCTATGATTCTTCTTATACCTGCATGCAAAGTCTCAGCCCGATCGGTTTAAAATTGACAAAGTTTCATACAAACTTTCATTCCCTATTTTATCCTCTTAGGGGTAGAATTAATCAAAATCCTCTCTTAGCGTATGCCTGCGTTATAACATCAACCTGCATGCCAAATTACAGCCCGATCCGTCCAGTGCCAGTGGTTTTGGCTGTGCGTTGATAGATCACTATGTCAGTCAGTCACCTTTGAGTTTTATATAGATTAATAAAATGAACTATGTTCTTAGCACGTAATTTTGAAAAATCCTATTTGACAACAGAATCTCAATCATAACAACGTTATAAATTTTATGTATTCCGTTCGATTTTCCACTGCTATGTGATCACTAGCTTCTTCATCATCATCATCATCAGCCTATTAATGTCCCCACTGCTGGGGCACAGGCCTTCCCTATGGATGGTTTAGGGAGATTGGGTCATGACCCACCACGCGGGCCCAGTGCGGGTTGGTAGGTGCTAATGACTACAGTTCCAGCCGGGACCAACGGCTTAACCTGCCTCCCGAAGCACGGTGGAGCTCGAGATAGTAAATTTTTGGTCACCCATCCAATGACCGACCACTGCGAAAGTTGCTCAACTTCAACGACCGCCGCCGAACGCGCTAACCACTGGCGCCATCGAGCTCCTCCTAGCCTCCTAACTTCTTCATTCTATGGAATTGTTGTGAAAATATGGCACACAATTAAAAAAAATCTTATTGCTTATTTTTTAACTTATAACTTGTGTTTAGAACAGAATAATGACCACTTGTCTTCTGCACCAGGTCTGTTGACTTTCAAACTACTATGTGATACTTATCTCAAACGATTCTAATCTATTTCCAAAGATAAATTATTTGCGTATTTCTCCGAGTATGATTTTGTCCCATTCGATGTCGAGACCTTCGATCCGTGGGATCCCAGCGCTGTAAGGCTTTAAGGAAATAGCAAAAAAATTACTCCACATCACAGGAGACTGAAGAGCTGGCAGCTACCTCGGACAAAGAATAAGTCTAGCTATTTAAAGGGGGACGCTGCCTGTATCTTCGGAACCTTGTCTAAAGGGACTCCTTTTAATAATGTATTTTAGTTATTATTTATATATATTTAAAGGTTTTTTGGTATAAATATCTTACTATTTGCGTTATATAGATAGAGCAAAGCGCTGAATTTCAAGAAGTGTTATGAAAGTACATACTCATCCAGAGGAAATCGAAGTTTCTATTCAAATCGACACCCACGCTCATATCGTCTGGTCTGTTCATATGAGCACACGATGTCTGCATGGCGGGATTCCTATTCTTTCTCCACATTCGGTTCTAAAGTACAATTTTAAATCACTAAATATTTTATCTATTTATTAAGTCTTTAGAAGATCTATAGAAAATATTCCTAGAAAAAGATCCACTCGGTCCAGGATTTCAATCCGCATCTTCTGCTGCCCGGGCGGGTTAAATACATGTTGTGGGTTACCTAAAATGCGAACAGATAGAGCTGTTTGCATCCTAAGAAACACTAAAGGAAATTCGACACGGCTATTAAGGTCTCGGTAGCGTAATTGATTAGTGCGTCCGCCCGGATAGTTGAAGTAATTTGAATCCCGTCTGCGACTGGACTTTTTTCTAGTATTCCTTTCTTTTGATTTGAATATTTAAGTAGTTGAATGCTTATAAGGATATTAATAATGTTTTAAAAAAAATATCACATTTTTGTTTAAGTATTTAACTGCTCCTTTTTGCTGGCCAAAGAAAATTTCACGTGAATGTTTTACTGCTGCCTGATACCAAACTGGGATCAAATAGATCAAGTGCCATGTTTCATTTAAGCTTGCAACTGTTTGATATTTCTTTGTTATTTTTTATATCATGCTAATAAATGGTTTAGATTATCAGAAAATTTCTATTACGAAATTAATTATGATAAGTCTATTATTTACGTCATTGCCTATTCAGACTTAGGCTTAGGCATAATACCGGATCCCTTGTTTTATTAGAAAAGGTCTATTTAAAATTTGTTAATCTTTTTTTTACATTTGTAATTCTAATACTCACGTCAGTAAAAGAATAAACATAGCCATCCGGATTGGTAACTGGGAATATATACCAAACTACATCTTCAGCCATTGCTCGTACACCTCGATCATTGCTCGTTAAAAACTCTTTAATGATCCAAGTGCAAGTAGCTGGTGTTATCCATTCCCTTGCATGAAGCCCGCCTTCAATGACACTATAGTAAGGTCTCTCTCTCTTTTTGAAGTCTATAACCATACCCAATATAGGTCTACCTTCTGCAGTAGCTCCTATATTTATTATGGAAGCTACAGAAGAATATGCTTCAGCTGTTCTATTCATCCATTCGTAAATTTCGTCCAAATTTTGATAATAATCCCAAGCATATTCATTGCTGTTTCTTGTTTTTGATCGCTTTACTTGATTATCTATAAGACTAACAACATATTCATTTTAATTTTAGTAGTATTTTAATATTTGGTTATCTTCAAAATGAAAATCGACTTACCTTTGAACATCCTCTATGATTAGTTCTGCTTTGATACCAGCATCAGAAACATACTTCTCGAAGAGCCTTTGCTTTTCGGCAGCCACGTCGATCCTATTCTCCAAACCAACTTTGATTCCTTCAATCCAGAATACAAAATCATTGCTATTTTTTAAATCAAGCAAAGCTTGCACTTCTTTTTCGGTAGTTGGTGTCACTGTGTAGACTTTATGATATTTGTAGTTTACATATTCGGATTTTATTGACACTATAACCGTTAGCAATAAAAATATTTTCGTATTCATATTTACTATTGTAAAGGTCTAATAACTGGACCGAATACATACTAGAATGTTTATCAGAACATTCAATTATCTTATCTCGTTAAGTTTGAAGATAATTAAAAACTGGATAAGCTCGAGTTCTATAGATTGTGATTATCTGCACGCTTGTTATATGTGTGCACATTGATTAAACCCTTAATAGTAAGTGTATATCTATCTTAAAATAAAAATGTGTAGTCCTAGCCTTAACCAAAATTTTTGAGCTATTTCTCAAATATATTGTTTTTCTTTATATAAAATTCGTGTTACAGCGTCAGTAGATTAATTTCTACATAAGTTGAATCGCTGACACTGCAACACACATTCTTTCAATATTTAATTTTATTATATTCAATATTATATCTACCGGCCTCCATTCAGAAACTGCCAATAGCTGTTGTCCCTATAGATTAAATTATAAAATAAAGTATTTTTTCTAGACTCCTATCTTGGCCCTGCTTTAACTCGTTTTATAAAAATAGTTAAAGCAGATGTTATTATTACATATATGCTTGAGTTGTATGTAGTAATAAAATTAATGATTCATATTTTACATTAACATTATGTGTTAATTTTCTATTAACAACTTGAATAAGTCTGCAATGACTTAGTCACATGCACCATTGTTCCAATATTATGCATTAGTTTCAAAGGAATTTGTGTAAAGCGAATAAAGATTTTTAATCAAAATTCTCGCATGTACTTTTCACAAAATTAAAGAGTGTTTACTCAATGTTTAAATTAAAAACAGATTATTATTAATTTTGATGTACAATACACATATGTTCCCCTCCACCCTGGGGATTTGGAGAAATGTTCAGTTCAATTCAGGAGCATTACCGTTGCAACAAGTAATTTAAGATTAAAAATTTACTAAAATAAGAACAAAATCAAAAACTAAAAATAAAAGTCAACATATATTCAATGTATTTATTTTCAATAGGGTATTTGACATGTTTTAGAAAACGATCTCACGTTATTTACTAATCTCTATGGGAGCCATGAAATTCTCTATTATATTCTCCATTCTGTTGTGTATTTCAGTAAAAGAAAACTTCTGATTTTAAAATTCCATTTTAAAATTGCCACGAAAACGTTTCTCTGGACATAATGGCGTCCCACTGGTGTGTGATGTTACACGGCTATCTTTGCAACGTCAAACGATAAAATATTTAATGTAACTTTGACCGAAAGTTTACTAGCGAGTGACGTCATTTTAGTCTTCGCCAATCCCAAGAGTTGTCGTCTTTGAGTTGACCATGGAAAATAATTTATAAAAAAAAATATTTAGAAAAGATATGAATTAGTTTGTTCTCTCAGAAAAGAAAAATCACAGCTAACATTCATATTAAGGCGCCTTAGGTCCCAAAGAAATTTCTTATTCTGAGACCAACGAACTTTCTCAACTTGAGCGCACGATTTGATACCATGTTTTTAAGATAAAAAATAATATAATCAATTACAGATATACCTATTTTAAAAAAATATCTTATTTTATTCTTACTTCTGATCTGTTTCAAGTTTTGGAACATTTACCAACCTTTCGATAATTAATTAAAGTACCTAGTGAATTCATCAATAACAGTACCGTCTATCCTTTTTTATATTTAGATTAAATTCAATGAAATTATATTTAGATTAAATTTAAAGAGTATTATTTCATCCAATTGCATCCTAATATAACTGACAATTATTATTTTAGAATAATAATTAATATTATAATCCTTTTTCAGAGAACTATGGAAACAAATAATCCCAACAAAACTACGATCACAGATTGTAAAATTGTTGACGACCCGCTGCGGCTATGGTAGTAACCTAGTTTTTTTGTCGTCTTGTCCATTTCAATGAGACCGTCCATCACTTCCAGGTTGTTCGGTATGATTTGAGAGGCTGGCAGGAGGAAACCGAACTCCCCCAGGTCACGAAGTTCGATCAGGAATGACACTTTCGCATCTGTGTGATTTTTGACCCAATCGAAACTGGAACCGCTCATCGGATCTGAAAATAGGATATCTTTTCTGAATTTCTAGCTAAGAACTCAGTTTTCTGCCGCAGAAAAATAAGTTCTCGTCTCGTTATCCTCGCCGTGTAGTTTGAAATAAAACAGCACGCGGATGCGGGAGAAACCGCTCCATGAATTTTAGTCTATGCCTAATATATATGTAATGGATAGGATTGGCAATGCGGAGCGAAAAAATCATTGCGATAATCTGAGAATACCATTCCATTTTGGTGATGTTACGTGTCTGTTTAGTAGATTAGCAGGTTCCAAGGCTCCTATTGACAGGGGATTGTTTAGACTGGTAAGGTAAGGAAGACTAAGGCGGCACACTTTTCTGCTACATCAGCTATTTTCACGACTGGACCTCACATACTTGACATCAGACAGGGAGGACTAATATGAAACCTACAACCTCAGTCTAAAACATCGCAGAACTTATTGTGTTAAAGCCTGATATGATCTGGTATGCAGCCTGGTAGCCAGGTATGGAGCCTGAGGTACACCATGTAAATCTGCATTAGACGCGTCGCATTGTATGATTTTTTTGCGTGACGTCTTCATATGCTATAGTGATGACTTTATTTTTATCAGTTTATTCATATTATTGTCTGTCTGTATCTATAACACTCGCTCAACTGCAAAAAGATATGGCTACTACAGGCTATTTATTCTAGCTACTAAACTTAACATTTTCAGCTAGAAGCACGCCCGTATCGAGTTTAAAACTACAAAGAATCAATATAAAATACTTACATAGTACTTCAGCCGATATACCAACTCTGTAGTGTGTGCCGTAGCGTTGTGAGACTTTTTCAGCACTTCTTATCGCGATCTCGTACTAGAAAATGTAAAGGATGATAATAGAATAGTGTAGTGAGGACCAAAGGAAACTGTTATCGCGCACCCGAAATCTATTTCATTCGAACGACGTCATTGATTCTTCGGGAAAGGTTCTTACTGATGCAACGTTCGAATTACTCATTAAAATTATTAATAATAATGTGGGATTCTAAATGCGAATGAATTTTTTCATATCGGTCCAGTAGTTTTGGAGCTAATTCAATACCAACAAATCTTTTCTCTTTATAATGTAAGTGTAGATGATATAACGAAATCTATCCCTAGTTGATTATTTTTTAATCTAGATAAGATACATGACTGCTAAGAAAACTATTTATAGTGTCTTGTTTCTACAGTATTTGGTTGCAGGGTTTGAGAATGGGGCAGAATAGGTAATCTTAGTAATTTAAGTTATTTACGGGATTGTTACCATGTACCTTGTTTTAAGCGAGTTTCCGATATTTCGGCACGGTTGCAAGTACCATGATCACGGAGTATCTTAGTTACTCCAGTTTCTCCGTGATCATGGCCTTTGCAACAGTGCAGTAATATATGTACTGTATAATTATTAATTCTATCCGTTAACCTAGTATCCCATAACACAAACCTGCGATGCTTACTTTGGGGCTAGGCTAATTAGGCAATAAATTAATTGGAAATATTTATATTTATTTATTTACATTTATTTATTATTATTAATCTTATTTTCATGTACTGATCGAGTTTTGTAGTTTTGATAGAAAATCTGTTGTGAGTTGTGTACCTAAAATTGTTCTACCGTTTTAACTTAATATGATTTTTGAGATGAAACTTGACCAAGCCGAATGATTACGAAATAAGAGCCTTCGAGTCCGAAGTAAGTATCATGCTCATGAAATTTTCAAAGAAGCCGATTCCCGAGTTAAAGTGCTAATGATTTTTCAATTAAAGCCCAGACTACTTTCAAATAAGCTCTCGTGCATTGAATTTTACATATAGTATGGATAGCGAGTAGATGACTAAAAAGTGGTGGGAGAATTACGGTTAGGTTATAATCCCCGTACAATATTTTTTTTATGTATACTCCTAATCTTATGATACATTTTGATGAAATGATCGTAAACTACGTTCTCGGATTAATATTGATAACGATACGCTATTACAATTCTACAAGGTACAAGAACGGTAGGGCATAACGGATTTTTCGCTCGAATCAATCGGCCGTCTGGGGAAATAATCTCTAATATACAGAAGACCACAGGAAAATGTTACACTATCTTTATGTTTTTATTTTTTGTGCATTTAACTGCCAGATCTTTAAATCTAAAGAAAAGTTTACTAGAAAAAAAACCAGATGGGCCAGGCAGCAGACGAGACTCGAACCCGCACCCTTCACTATCCGGGCGAATGCACTGACATTATGGCAAAATATCTACCATATATAGTAGATAAGATCGTCGCTACACATGCACACATTGACTGCTTTCAAACAATCTAACATTAGAATTACGCACACATTGTGCGTAACATGAGCCGTTTTCTTTGGGTGGTTTATTTTGATTGCTCTATCTAGGCATGTATATTCATAATCAAAGGAATTATTATTCAGTTGTACGTAGCTCACCATATTAGCATAATTATTGGCTGTCAGCACTTGATTGGTTGTAATATGGCTGTAGGGCACGATGAACAGTTGCGTGTACGAGTGAAACGAGAGGTAGTAAATGATTTCACCGTGGTTGCTCAGATTCGTCATATACTGCTGGATAGCGCGGGTTTCCGGTTCAGACGCAGCTGAAGGACCAGCGAAGGTATTGCTGCAAGGATCATTGGATGCGCCGACAGCTGAAATTTTATTACATTGATGATTTTAAAATTAAAGGTTTTTTTGTGGACGTCAATTTTAAAAGTGATGACGAATAATGATACTCGTAACTATATTGCACTCAAGAGCAGTGAAAACGGTTCAGTTAAAATGTCTTTATTTATTATAGTTATTATTAGCAGTACTGCTACCATATGATACATTGTTTTTTGTAATTCACCGATATTTGCAATACCGCTAATGACTATAATTTTAGTGACCATTAGAGTTTAAAACTGTTTTGTATTATATGTATTGTCAATATTTATTTTTAATTTGGTAAGCTGAAATTAGATTATAATATTTAAAATACTATCAATAAAATAAAAGTAAAAAAAAATAGAAATGAAAATCTTAGCAATTCACTGCTCACTTTATTTATTTTGTCATACCTACTGTATTTATCTGTTTAATTTACTATGTCATCCATTATTATGGGACTGTGGGAAATATGGACCAGTGTTTTATGTGAACTTTTGTTAAAGCGTATTTTTATTATTAACTTACTCATCCAAACAAAGTCAAAGTTTCTATTTAGGTCGACTCCGTTGCTCATATCATCGTTAACATTTGTTGCACACGTTGTGAAATTGGCTTGACTCCTATTTTTCCTCCACAGTCTGTGCTGGAAATAGAATAAAAGTTTTGAGATGAAAATTAAAAATTCTTACTATTTTATTTTTAATTTTTTATTAGTCAACAATTTAGCCTCTACAAAATTACCAAATATGTTGTTCGTCACATTATGTTGTGATCCAATAAGCACTCAAAAGAAGACTCAAGAAGATTAAAAAGTCCCTCAGTCCCACCAGTCGCTTTATCAGAGACGCGGCGAAAAGATTCATGCATACGTTATGTAATTAGAAAATTTACTTACATCAGTAAATGTATAAACATAACCATCTGGATTCACTACAGGGAACACGTGCCATTCCAAATTCTCAGCAAACGCCCTTACATCAGAGTCGGTGCTTGTCAGAAACTCTTTTACTATCCACGTGATAGTAGCTGGAGAAATCCACTCTCTAGCATGTAAAGTGCCTTCAAGAAAACCAATTTTCTTATCTGTCTGCTCTGGGTGATAATCGATTTTAATTCCTTTGATTTCTCTATTCTCCACAGATGTTCCCATAACTACAGTAGTAACCACTTTGGGATATGCTGCTGCTAATTCATCTAACCAGGTATTGATTGCTTCCAAATCGTAATATCTGTCCCAGGTCATGGAATGAAAACTTTCTGTACTTCTAACGTTGCGTACATTGGCTGGTGGATTTTGAGTATCGATGATTCTGAAATTTATGTGAAGAAGATGATTTTAGTTTTCCTCTATTATAGTTATCTCTATTATACTTACTCCATGTTTTTGTCTCTGTGCGTTGAATGACAAATAGTATTTGAGTGATATGAACAAACAAGGAGTTACTAGTCTATGCTTATACCTTGTTTATTAATAAGGGTAATAGACATACTCGTTTTGTTAACGGATTATTTAGCCTAGCTATTTGATTTCTTAGTTACTCTTTGCGTTTTAGATTCCATTGTCACAAGATTTGAACAATCAGACGATAAACTATTCTACAATAGATTGAAAACCTGAAAAAGTGATGTGACTAAAAAATAAAGGACTATTAATAAACTTACTGTTGTAAATCTTCGAAGATAGATTTAGCCTCAAGCTTTGATTCTTTCAATTGACTTAAAAATGATTCTTCATTTTTTGGAGATACCATTATCCTTACATCATCCCCGACTCGATAATAGTCTGTCCAGAACTCTCCAATGCCACTATTTTGTATTTTCAACAGAAGGTTGACATGATCTTCGCTTGTAGGAACAGCTTTATACAATTTATAACCGAGATAGTTTTTATATTCTGCATTTGTTTTAGCGACAGACGCAATTATAACAAAGCACAATATAATCTTCATTTTTCTTGTAATGTCTGACCTTATCGGTCTAAATGTGTACACTCAATGTACTAGCAAAAATTTAGCTAATGACTTATTAACATTTATCAGATAAACACATTATTCGATAAGGAAGTCTCAATGCTTTGGAAATATCTTATCATTTTTATTAAATATTTATCCTGATCAACATGATAACAGTAAATCTTAGTATGGTATGTAGATGCGAATTAATATAGGTAATATAAGTTATTGATTGGGGGAACAAAAAGAAAAATATTTGAAAGAGCTCGTGAGACTTGTGCCTTGTGGCACTTTATTCTGCATTACTCTAAACATCTCATAACTCTTTATACCTGTTTCCGATCACTAGATTTTTGTACTATAACCTGTTTCCGATCTGAAAGCCATTAGCCGGCAACGTGTTTCTGAAAACGATATGATAGTATAAAAAAAATACAAATTTGGAGCATTCGTCAGTAAGTGTAGCTTACATACGTACATTTATATCTTTTTCAAGTTTACTTACCTTTGCTGGTGAGTATAATCTGCGAAGGTTATATGGTCTGAAAATTATTTCATAAGAGTATTAACGATAGAAATTAATTTGTGATAAAAATATGAAATGGCAAATTCTCAAATACATTTCCAGCATTCCAGTATATCTAAGAGTTAAATTTCTTCAACATTGGTTATTCGAAACACACCAGCCGCAGTTCAAACATCTATTTCCGAATGTAATATCGCAAAAATATAAATTACAAAGTTGTCGAACAACAGTTCTGCGCAGCGTTTAGGGCCAAGCGTGATTCGTACTATTTCATGTCTTATTGCTGGAAGTTTAGTGTTATATTGCATTGACAGTTTAGTGCAATTTCACGGAATGTGCGGAGAGCGTTTGCTTGATTCAGTCTTCCTGGACGATGCGAGTACAACTCGTCTCTATAAGGCGTTATCCATAATAGATCTTCCAATAAATAAATAAAATATTGATATGTTATGTGTGTGATGAAGCACCACGCGATCTGTTCGTAACTATTCTGACAATATTTCTATGTTTTTTTTTGTATTTTTTTTTAATTTATCTAATAATATATTTCAAACATTCGAAGATAGTGAGAAAACATATAGGTATTAAGGTATTATGTTTTTTAGATCGCAGATAAATCGGACTTAAACTGAATACGTCATTTACGCTAGTCATTAATTGTGTTAACGTTATCTGCAGACGAATGATTAAACAAAAACTGTTGTAAGTAAAGATATCAAAATTGAATCGCAAAACTGTAAAGGCGAATTAACATTGAGCCAATAAAGTAGGTTACCTCAAACGTTGGTAGTTGTCGGATTTTTTCAGAATAATTGGTAATTTCGCTTTTTTGAGGATAAATGATTTCACGGTCAAACACAATTGTCTAATATGAAGTGACTACTGACCCCGGGTTCAAATCCGGTCTGGAACCTGGACCGGGTGCTACCAACATTTTCTTTTAGTTTAAAGTTCGAAGTTCGTTAATGCGAATGTGTCTTTTATGACACTTTAAATTCTGCTATCTTGCATTATTTACACTTTGAATCATGAGGGGTGGAGTAAATTTGCAATAATAAACTCAAATCCCCCGAATTGCATTCCTGCTCAGCGTATATGTAAAGAGCCTTATGCACTTGCCTCACAACTGCGGCCTGGGTGGGTCAGAGCGGCACAATTATATTTATCGCTGAGTGCTGGCGTGTCGTCCGTCCACGCATAAATCAGCTGGCAGCCCCAGCCCCGTGCTGATACGTCGCCGATCGCGCGTCGCTGCGGTCGATCCGCTTGTGGGAATGGACTTTTAGATTTGTCGATATAGCCCGTATGATGTATTTGTTGGTTTCCGGGGATGCTTTCAGTTCGAATGTCGGATCAGCTAAAGCTCAAGTGACAATGACTGATCCAATATTCTCCTAACCGAATGTATTTCATCACCATCATCACCAGGTGTCCCCACTGCAGGGGCACAGGCCCTTTTCATGGATGGAATAGAGAGACTGGGCCGTGACCCACCACGCGGGCCCAGTGCGCATTGGTGGGTGATAACGACTGCGGATGCAGCCGGGACCAAACAGCTTCATGCACCTTCCAAAACACGGAATAGGTCTAGATAGTAAGTTTTTGGTCATCCATCCAATGGCCGGCCATTGCAAAAGTTGCTTAACTTTCACGATCGTAGGCCAAATGCGCTAACCACCTGCACCATCGAGCTCTTCTTACCTACTTGAATCTGTTTAATTATCTCTACAATGTGTTAAATTCAAGTAAATTTCCCTTACTGTTGAAATGTTTCTAGAATTTGGATAATGGTCGCCCCTTGCAACCTTTTTTTATTTGTTAATAGGTAAGCTCTAGATCCTCTTTCAAGTCCAAGAGAAAAGTAACTACTGACCCTTAGAGCGGGAGCATACGATGCGTTGCGGCGGCGGTGCGGCACCGGAGTGGTGTCGCTGCGTCGTCGCCGCCGCTGCTTACATAGAAATATCTGTGGCATGTCACACGATGCGCTCCGGCGCCGCACCAGACTTGCAACTATCGAGACGAGGCGGGGAGAGGTGAATGCGTTGCTACGTCAGAGCGGCACCGCTCAGTTGTTTATGCGCCATAGAGAATGTACGCTGCTGGGGTGCCGGCGACGCTGATACAATGTAACAACATTGCGGCGCCGCACCGCTCATGTGCCCACCAATGCGGCGAAATCTTTGCGGTGCGGCGCCGCAACGTATCGTGTGCTCGACGCTTTACACTACGGCTGGCGACGAGAAACTTATACGCACCAGCAAGACTTATAACTATAAGCTAATTAAGATGACATTTAATAATCTAGTGATCAAGATCCTTCAGCTTATCATGGTTTCTGACAACGGAACTCGAGTATTAAAACTCTACCTGTCCGTTTATCTATCAGCTGACTGTGTATCTCTTGAACGATAAAATTTAGTTTATGGAATACTGTAATAATATTGCCGACATAACTGCAATAAGTAGTTCAAATAAAGGTGACAATTAAACAATAGTTGCCTTTTTAAGGAATTTTATTATCACAGAGGCTCACCGAGGTGACTGGTGATCAAAACGAATGCAGGGAGATTTATCATTTATCTATGGTTGAGTGAATGATGTAAAACTTTAGCAATTTTGAGTTGCACTTGACCGTGTTTGTTTACATAAAATATGAATGACATTTAAATTTCATTTAAATAACAAAATAGTTTTTATATGTAAGTAGCTGGTAGCTATAAGGGAATTTATCCCTTTTAAGTTGCCTTAAAAAGATTGCAAATGGAAGTTTCAAGAACTTTTATTTATTTTCGGCGGCAGAATGTAATTAATTAGATAGTATAGGTACCTACTAACTTCGCAACTGTACAGGAAACAAGTTCAGTAGATAAGAAATGCATGAAGACTTTGTCCTTCTCTAATAACGTGAGTAGGGTACCTTACAGAAGCAACAGTAAATAAATGAATTTCTTGAACCCTTCTTAAAAACAACGTCATTATATTTTTTATTTTTTTTAAAGCATGTAGCTGCTTGATGTTTAAATCTAAAGAAAATATAACTAGGAAAAATTCCACGCGGACCAGGCAGCAGACGGGGACTCGAACCCGCACCTTTTGCAATCCGGGCGAATGCACTGACCAATTATGCTACCGCGGCCCTCACGGACCACGTCGAAATTCCTCTAGCCATCCTTAAGCTGCAAGGCAACACCATCTCTTCGCATTATGGGTAACCCACAATGTCAAATGAATACTTTTACAAGTATTGAACATTTGAAAGAAGAAATAGCAATTATAGTTATAATTTTTATTTTTTTTAAAGCAGGTAACTGCTTGATGTTTAAATCTAAAGAAATAATAAAAATCTATCCTCTATCCTCTAATCTGAGGGCCGCGGTAGCTTAATTGGTCAACGTCATTATTAATGTGAAGTATCGCAACCTGTTCTACTTTCTGAAAACGTTGTGAGATCTAATGTTTTAATATGTAATCAAGTCTGGTAATAAATATGATGACTTTGCAACTTCAGCTTTGAAGTTAATAACTGAAGTTGATTGGAAAATTTTGAGTCGCTATGTCTAATTTTAGCACACCATCAGATAAGTACCTACAGCTAACATATTTATCACCAAAATGGTTTACGCGTTAACACAACCAGAACAAAGACTGAGCGCACGTAATAAATCAGCTATTGTCTCTTGAGTTGTTGAGTTGTAGCTAAGAAGTGCAGAAGTTCATTAAAATAACATCTTAGTTGTGTCTCTTCGATAGCCCGAAAGATAATTAGAGTAATCACGGGTACATCATTTCGAATAAAATAAAACATCACATAATAACATTTTGGGAAAGGCGCGACGAAGATATTGAGAAGATAAGAATTTAAGTTAAACCCTAAGTTCCAGTGAGGTTTGAATACAACTTTTTTTTTTTTTTTTTTTTTTTTTTACAATAAATAGGCTTACGCTTGACGGCCACGCAACTGATGGAAAGCGACGTAGCAGCCTAAGGTGGGACGCGCTTGCCTAGAAGAAACCGATTGACTCGCGACTTGAAGAGCCCCAGATTATAGGTGACTGGAAACAGAGATTCCGGCAAAGAGTTCCACAACCTAGCTGTTCTAACTATATAGGTGGAAGCAAACCGTTTAGTACGAGTTTGTGGGACCTCTACGGTATATCTGTGGCGTTTTGCCGTCTCTCTGGTGGTTCTGTGGTAAAACTTGATTACATTAAAAATAAAAATGTGCAATTCACTACGATATTATTATTTTTTGTATAGTGTTTTATATCAGCTCTTTGGCTGGTTTTTACTACAATTACGGGCCGAAACCAAGTAAGTGCAGCATGTGTTGTGTTATGTTATGTTGTGATGAGAACCTATTTCGTTTTCGATTTATTTGCAAGAACTTTCTGACTATTATTACAGTTATTATATATTATTATTACAAGGTTATCGAAAGAAGTTTACTATACCATTGGTTTTAATTTAGCCGGCAAGTGTTTAAAGTTTGTTGTTGAAAGTTTATAGTAGTCATAAAATAACAGTCATTCTTATTATACATATTTGTGTTGGTTTTACCCAACTTCGTAATTTACAACTGATT